TTGGTCCAGGAAAGTGTTGATTAGTGGCAACGCCGCCCATTGGCTCAATGGAAAAATATTGGAGTAGTCAGGAATGCGGCCTTCCGGCTACCATATTGTCTTCAATTGCTTTAGTTGGCCCTGCTTAGGTCTAGCTTGTTCTTATTTTGCTTGTACTATTTGAATGTTTTCAGTTATAACACCAATTTTTTTTGTGTTGAGACAAGATTGTTTTACGAGAAAAGCAGGCCAAATTTCATCTAAAACTACTGAAAGATATTCTTTGGATCGAAAGAAGACATTCTGACCTAACTTTTATTAAGAAAAAAATTGTGGACTTTCTGCTTGGGTTGGTAAAAGTTTTTCCAAAAATCTATGTTTTTTTAAATATCGCAAAATGGGTTTTGATTAAATTCGCAGCGAATTTGTTCATATGAAAGACGCATGCTTTGATGCAGCAACCGAGTTCATCCGCTTTGGACAATTGAGGACATCGTTAGTACAAAAACTTGTACAATCAATTGAGGACAATTTGAGTCATTAAATTTTTGCCTTAGCCTTAAATTAAGTTTTTTTTAAATAAAAACAAAATTGTTTACAAAAAAAGTAGTTTTCTATACAAGGGCGAAAAGTGTCGTTTTTCGAACGACGCCGGCGTTTGACACTGGAGACAAGTCAAAGGTGTCAATCCGTCAGTCAATGCCATTTTTGAAATTGTCATGGTTTGACGTTTGTGATTTTTCAAAAGCGTACTTTTGTAAGCATATATTACAAATGAAGCAATGAGTGTTGAAAATTGGAGTACTGCCTTTACGGTATGGTGTTTGCATAGTTGCATATTTTGCATAAAATTTGCGCTTTTTAAAAGAATCGTGTTTTGCTTGTGGCAACATCGGCGAGTGCAAACAATAGACCATTTGAAGGACTTTGAGACTGAACTTGTAACAAAGATATAATTTAAAAATTGTAAGTAAACTTTAAATTATTATCAATAGTTCTTTATACACCTACGTAATTCATTAAAAAAGCCTGTCGTTTACTTTTTAATGAAAATAATTTAAAATATTTTATGACAGTGACACGTTCAATTTGTCACATTTACTTTTGCGCACATGCGCGTAACAGTCCGTGCGGAAACGTAAAACAAATGAACAGTAAAAAAGTGCTTCTTTTTGATCATCGCAAAAGACCGTTTATTCTCGATCAAAATGCGTATTTTCTGATGTACCTCGTATACGACTAAACATGACTACGATTGTTGCATTTTAAGTTATGAACCAAGCAGAACTTTTCCTGCAGAATAACTTTCCAACTTCGTTGACACACTGAACATTATCGAAAATAAAAAAAGTTAATTTATGGTATATTTTCGACAAAAAGTTCTGTTTCCGCCCGGGATCGAACCGGGACCTTGTGCGTGTGAAGCACACGTGATAACCACTACACTACGAAAACTCGGTACAAAAATATATATATAGATAAGTTCTATATTGTTGAGGCGGATTCATTTTTTACAAACTTCTTTTTGAGTATTAATGATATTTTTGAGAGAGTAATTAAAGAAGGCGGTTTTCAGTCTTGCATAGTAGTTCAGCTGCTGCGTGAATTGTGCTCAATTTTCAGCCGACGAAACATTTGCCAGTGAGTCAACTCAATTAGGAATGAGCTTGTCAACACTTTGAGCGGATGCAGGCAAAAGCGACACAAGTTAGTGAAGCAGAGACTCTAATAGGTTTGTCAGTTGACTTCGAACTGAAGCCAACTGCATACTTTCTCAACGCGAGGCCGTTGCCAATCTGTAGGGCTTAATAAGTTTAATCCGATTTGCCTCACTTTACTAAGTGTTCGGGAGCCAGACAAATGGCTTTTGTTGAAGCCAGACTGTGCGGCCTAACGAACTATGCGACCCAAATACTTGATCAGAAAATCGATGTTCAGTTCGACTGGATGTTAAACATTAACGGGTTTTTGCAAAAAAAAATCACGCTCAGTTTCTCTCGCCGCTGGCCAGCTTCGCTGCAAATCTGCATAACCGGAACTGGTAACCGATTGATCATGAGCCGACGCTCTGTTAATCTAAACAGTAACTCAATAGGGAGAACAACTCCTAACTCTGTTTAGTTACTGCATCGATGAGTCAATCGGAAAATTGTCTGTGGAAAATTCACCACCTTCATCCGATCGCCCAAGTTCGAACTGTTATTTGAAAACACCTTTCTTAACTTGATGTTTTACGCAGACAAAAAAAGAAAAAAAAGTAGTCGTCTAAACCGTCTGTATTGTTCTATTGTTTAAACAAATCTCGGTTTAATGCAAACACGATTAACTGAAATCCGGAACCCGAAACCCAAATGCATGTTGTTTGAGGAAAAAACAACAGAACAATACAAACTTATTTGGCAAATTTGAATAATTCAATCACTGGAAAGTAGATTGACGAAAGCTCGAGAGCAATATCGGTTCATTAAAATAAGAAACAATGTGCCTTAAGAGGAAAGTTTAGCACGATTAGCATAAATCTGCCCTATTGAAAAATAGAAACAATAGCGCCTTATCAAAAATAACACAGCCACTAGTCACTAGAAACTAAAATGAAAAGACAAAAATGATAAATACGCCGAAGGAAATGAAAGAAAATAGAATCAATTGTGAACGAAAAAATTGATAATAATTAGAAAATATAAGAGATCAAATAGAGATCAATTCATTGGTATTACAACCCTCAAAGCGACTTGAAGATGTAAATAGAAAAAAATGGAAAGTTGTGATCCACAAGAGACAATTTTTTTACAAACTTCTTTTTGGGTATTTCGCCTCAAAAATTTTTGTCTTTAAAAAAGACAGAATTTCCTCACGTCTTTTATTACAGATTGATAAATAGTGCTCCCATTTCGCAATAAGAACGAATTATTTATCAAATGCACTATTTATCAATCTGTAATAAAAGACGTGAGGAAATTCTGTCTTTTTTAAAGACAAAAATTTTTGAGGCGAAACACACAAAAAGAAGTTTGTAAAAAATTAGAAATACTGTTTCATCTTGATGCTTTACTGTAGCACTGGGAAACACTGTGTTGAGTTGCGCTTTTCAGTTGATGCCGCTCTGTGAATTCGTGAGTTATAACACATCGCGCCATACTGCGCCGCATCTCCAATTGAGCTTTATGTCAATTAATATGGGAAAGATTTTTTTAAAGAACTCCAATTTTTTACAAACTTCTTTTTGGGTATTTCGCCTCAAAAATTTTTGTCTTTAAAAAAGACAGAATTGCCTCACGTCTTTTATTACAGATTGATAAATAGTGCTCCTATTTCGCAATAAGAACGAATTATTT